GGGAACATCGTATTGGAAGAATGGAAAAAATGTCTAGGTTGGTTTTGTTTTATCGAAACGAAATTTTTTGTCGAAATCTGAGGTAAATAGCAGAGTTTATTTTAAAAATATCATGCCAATAAGTCATTTTTAGAGCTCAAGGCAGATTAGCAGAGAATCTTTAGGAAAGTGTCTTTATTCTTTTTACAGATTAGTAAAAGCGTCCCTGATGTGCACTGGAGCAGCTAACCAAGAAACGCCCCTATTTACGAAAATCTAAACAGGTCGTTTTTGAAGGAATTCTTAAAGAAAATCTCTCCTGGTTGATTCTGGGACAGGGTAGCCAAGATTCCTTAAAATTATCTTCCAGCTATTTGATTTGAAAGCTTAGAGCAGGCTAGCATAATTGCTCAGGAAAAATTTTTCAAATCCTTACCCTCTCCGCCCTTCTCCTCAACTCCCAAAAGGTGCACGTGCTAATTTTGCCCGGGCCGACCGCCTCAGAAAAGGAGCATCGCGACTCGGCGGGCTGCAGGAATAGGCAGACGATTAGCAGGAAAATCGAGACAACGAATTGCAGGGGCTTCATCTTCCCAGATGTCGACAATTTCCGCAGCTGGCAACGTCCTCTTCTTTAATAAGCTGGGCCCCCTAGGGGCGAATGGAGTAAACAAGTATGGTATGGCGGCCCGCGAGACAGCAACAAAACTGTTTGTTCCGCTCGATGAGGGAGAAGCAGGAAAGGATAGGCCATGCGGGGGTGCGGCAGAAAGATCACAGATTGACCAAAAAACGCGCCGCAAAGAAAACAGCACAATTCAGGGTGGGCTTTGAGGCTTGTGACGTGGCGGTGATGGTGGAAATTCTATATTTTGCTCAGAATTTTGTTGGCGATTTTAAAGGTGGAATGGTGCATAAATAGCCGAATCGCAACGTCGAGAGCTCCTTAAGGGGGTCAAGGGTTACCTGGCAGGCCCACCACCCTTGTTGGCCAGGTATTGACAGTGTCAACAGCTGCGCGTCGCTCCTAACGATCACGAATACTTTGAATTCCGCAGAAGGGACCGATCGGAACGATAGTTACACCATTTGAAACCCCTTGAAACGGCGAGTTCGCACAATTTTCAAAACATTGTATTTATTTAAACCCGCTATTTTACGAGCCATTTTGTAAAACTTTGTGGTTTTTCGGGGTTGCATACGAGCCCATTTGCCTCAATTTCTTCAAGCAAAAATGACCGGAAGAAGCCGTTAATGAAATGCAGAGGCCGTTCTTGCTAAGTTTTTACGTTCAGGGAGGAGGAGTTCAGGAGGGCCGATGTACTCGTCTAACGGTGTAGACCCTATGGACGTTGGGACCGCGCTTTTCACCTGCCCGTGCCGTGGAAGGCGATTCCGGCCCCGGCCGCAGCAAAAATCTTTGCTTTCTTGCCCCAAAACGTCCCTGAACGTGCCCTTTAAATAAAAATGTGGTTCTGAAAATCTTTGCGAACTCGCCCAGCGCCAGAGCTTCCGAATGGTATAATTATAATTTTGATCGGACCCTTCTGCGTCGAGTTAGAGGGGTGTTTTTATTGGAACACCCTGTACAGGGTGGGCAAAAAAAAAAGATCCGAGTTTGGGGCAGAATAACTCGCCAACGGTAGAGAATCGAAGGTGTGTTACCATGCCAGAATGCTTAAATATGCTGGGTATGAAGATTTAACACAACTTGATTTTTTCGATTTTTGGCGACGTACCCATACAAATGACACCCGGAAAATGTGCGTTCCGGAGAAATGTGCGTTCCGTTGTTCCGGGGTTCTGGTGGAGCAAAAATTCTGATTTTTGCAAGACTGGCAGCATTAGATAGTACCTGCTAGCAGACGAAGTTTCAGAATTTTTGAAGGTCTGCTTCGGTTTTTATGAGAGGCCGAATTTTTATATTGAGTTTTTCCGAGAATATTTGATCAGAAACAATTGCACGGTAAAAACTAAAAACTAGCTGGTTACACAAGACCTATAGCATTTACTCTGGCTGAAGAAAATATTAAAAACATTTTTGGAAACAGCGAATTTTCGAAATTTTTGACGACCCCCTATTCATGGATTTTTTGAGGCCACGGAATCGGACTTTAGAAAAGTATTTTTAAAGTTTCCTAGGAAACCAAGGTTCTTTATTACTATGTTCTTGTAGCGGCCAAGATTCTTTATCATCTGTACAATTTTGGGCTACAGTAACCATCTAAGCGCTCGTATTATAGGGTCGCCAAAATGGTTCAAACGTGTTGTTTTTCGAATGTAGCTATGTTTCGATTGAGTTTCATTGTCCCCTCCAAATTTTGGTAATAATTTTAAAAAATGCTACATTAGGGGCGCATCCAATGAGAATTTTATTACAATTTTTGGGCCATCCGTTTTCCCGGAGGAATTTGCCGAAGTCCAGAAATATTCCAGGTTTGAGGCAACGTGAAAGAATGTTCTGTGCTTGGATCGTCGCAATATTTTGCATACAGATTGGGCTAGGTGAGCTAAACAAAATCCGCCCATTGATACACCTGTATGAACTCTTCAGGATTTTAAAAGGATTTTTGAAAACCGTTTTCGAAGCAAACTAGTTTCCAGTCTGCGGCGATTTTCACCATCATTTTTTATCGTCCTATTTCAGGAGTTTGTTATTATGCATTATGTAATTGGAGCGTTACTTGGATGCATGAGATTTCTATATCTATGATGTTCAAGAAAAAATTATTTTCAGACGGCGATCAAAAGCCGGATTTTGGACCCGCTTTCAGTCTCTCGCTTGTAACTCGGGAACCTACCACCGGAATTGTCTAATATTTTGCAGGTAGACTACTAAGTACCTAGACAACCAGTTGGCTTAAAAAATTATCTAGTTTATGGCAGTTCATATTGCATGCTAAAACGCGCTCCGCTGAGGGTTACGGTAGTTGGGAATTTCGTGGTTTTTGGGCGATTTCACCCCGAAATCGTCTCGTTTCTCTTCGGTTAACGAATGAAATCTATTTTTGCAGCCACCTGGTGAAAAATTGGGCGATTTTGGCCGTACGGATGGGCTTTGGTGTGGTAGTTAACATTTGGGGGGGGGGGGGGTGTTTTGGAAAGGTTTGTTAAAGGTATTTTCTATTTTCTCGCGTTTTAGACCTTTATACGTAAAGAAGGGTTGTACTCCCTGTTGCTTATAGGCGATCAAAAGATTTGTGTAACGGCGATGGTTGTTTACCGCCGCCGCTTCTTCGGGGTCAAAGGGCTTCTTCAGGCCCACCCAAGGAAAGCGGATTTCTTTTGAGGGCGAGGGCGATGAACTTGAACTAAAAAGCGTTTTCCGATGTCACAACACAGCTTCATGTTAATTTCGCAGTCATTTACATAAAAGTACCGACCTTATTATGAGCAACCTGTCGGAGAAGTTCAGGAAACGTATCGAAAACAAACAATATTTTTGTTTTAAATGTGATTTAGGTGCTTTTTGAGGGCATAGTGAGGTCGTTCGCTAGTTTATGGCTGCGATCTGGCTTATATATACGAGGCGATCAGATGCTAACAATCGGTCATCATCCACATCACCGCTCATGTTTCCAAAGTTGTTTCTGACTTCATTCCGCCGCACTACCCCTGGTTTCGTTTTTGCCAAGTGGCTAATTAAGTTATTACCGAAATTTTTAGCATGGAGCAATCCAAGTCATACAATCTGCGATCGCGGGGCCAGGTTTCGGAATTGAATCGGAGTGGGCCAGTGCCTAGGCCTTTAAGGTTGAGCGAGCTACAACTCGATGATGCTGCCAGCATAAGTCCGATTCCGACCGAGCTCAGTATCAGCCCACCACCAAGCGTTTTAAGCCTCGCGGACTTACCGTTGTCGCCTCCAGCCTACGATAGTCCCGAGCCAAGCGTGTTAGACTGGTGGCCGGGTGGATCTGAGCTAAGAAGGAACGAATCAACGCGGATGCAGGTACGAAGACTGAGCACAAGCCATACATGGAATTAGGCAACCACAGCTAGCCCACCAATTGTCTTCAAAAAAAGAAGGAGTTGCGGCGGCACTGGCTGACTACTTTCACGAGAGGCCACAGGTGAGCTAGGATTAGAAAAGGCATTGCCCCAAACACAAAATGATGCTTCAAAACAACAACATAAATTGCCTAATTTAGTCAGAAGTACGCGCACGGTCAGAAGCAGACATGGAAATTCCCAGCTCCTCCAGCCGTTCATGCGTGCCAAACTCTTCATTGTTTGGCATTGCCGAAGCCCCGGAAGATCGATGGGCTCGATGGGATCGACAGGGGAAGCCGTTGCCCGGAGATTGATTGGCGGGAATCTAGGTATATCTAGATTCAAAACATATTTCGTGAAGTTTTAGCCAGGCAGAGATCGACGAGGAGCGGAGATATCGAGCAGAATGTGAAGAAAGGTTCCGGGATCTCCAGGAATGGAAGGCCAAGTAAGATGAGCAACTTTTCTAGGAATATATATTTAAAATAGAAGGAAAGAAAGGAAAAGGGCGGAAGAGGAAAGAAGCCGTGTGGAAAATGCCAGATTTTCCGAATGGTATAGGGAAAACTATCCTGTTGAAGAGCAGGTGCTGTGGGAGGACCAAGCGGCGGCCAGGCGGACGGCGGAACAAGAAAGGAAATTGGCCAGCATTTACGGAACAAAACCCACCGGCTCCGCAAGCGTTTTTCCGACCCACTTCGATAAGTTAGTCTTTTTGCGTGATCAGACAGTATGTTTAGCGGGACAATGTTCATCCCGAAAAATTTTGAGTTCCCCGCCGAGCCACCTCTGTTGCAGCTAAAAAGGTTGCTATTGCGTCTGATTAGTAATTATAAATTTTTAGCTCTAGACGACGTGGCCCATTCAGTTTCGAAAAAAAGTGGGCAAAATCTCGGCCTCGGCGAGCGATCTCCAAGGTGGCGGATTTTGTCCAGGTGTTATCAAAATCCCAACTCCAACAACATAGCTTGCAGAGCATACGGCCAGGTGCGTCGCCTAAGCGACTAACCGATGAACAGCTTGAGACCATGAAGGTCTACGACTCATCTAGGGTGGGCTCTTTAAGAGGGAAGCTTAATCAAGAAATTTAGATCGAGGATGATGATCTGGGCGTGGGCTATGAATTCTACAATAGCGTAGATGAGGTATTTCTATCTTTTTGCAATCTAGTTTCGCTCTTAGGTACTTCAAAACCAGGAGGATGAATGGGAAGATTCGGACAACGAGGAGTTGGACACGGCTTCCGCGGCGATGCAGAATGAACAGCTCGATGACAGTTCGGCCGAGCGAATGCAAACGGGCGAGGATACCTTGAATCCAGGTTTGCCTTAAGAGGTGTTTTAATCCCATCCAGCGTCGATCGAAGCGAGGAAGAGGCAGAGCGAGGCAATCGATGATAATGAGGATGAGGCCGAGACCATCATCGTACGGAAACGCCATCGCTCCGCCCCCGAAGTCGGCGCAACTGCAGCCCTGGGGCCGGTACCTGATTATCCAGCCGTTTCCTGCAAGGTACCATTTGGCAAGCCAATGTCCACAATAAACTCCAGGGGCGCGGAAAATATGTTTCACTAAGCGCCTGGTCTAAGGAAGAGAGAATCGCTGCAACGTTGCTGGTACAAGACAACACCGGTATCAGCGTGAATGAGCTCTTTGAATGGTCCAGACGCCGCGGATACCTGATTCAAAGGGGGGCCATCAAAAATTTTATCCAGCGCATCAAGGCAGGTCAGGGCGTTCTGAGGAAAAAGGTACTTTATGCGTACATAACCTAAGTGTTCTCTAAGGTACCGGGCTCTGGCCGCCCCCCTCAGTCTCATGGAACTGCATAAAGCCGACTTGGAGGCGGCGGTTGAACTGAACCCTAGGATCTCAAGCCGCCAGCTTGCCGCTGTTCTTGGCATCCCACGGGCCTCGGCGCGCCATATGTGCAAGGAACTTGGTTATCGCCGATATAAAATAGTAAGCTCCAGCTTATAATTTAGTAAAAATTATTTTCCTAGCGCCCTGTGCAAATGCTGTCGGCAAAGAACAAAAGCGATCGGCTGGCATGCGCCCAAAATTTTCTAAAAAGGCCTTAAATCCGGGAGCCTATCCTTGAAAAAGATGATCTTTTCGGATGAAAAATTTATTCGGATGGACCCCGGCAAAGCATATCAGTTCGTCCTTTCGAAAGCGGCCACAAAGCGTGAGGTGGAAGAAGAGCTGCTTGACCTTCCGCATGGAAAGCCAACTGGCCCCGGATTCACATTCTGGGGAGGTGTGGGCGGCAATGGCCAAAAATTGCCGCTGTTGGTGCTGGAGCAAGGTCAAACTATTGGCGGCCGAGAATATCGGTACTATATCATATATCACCAAACCTTAATTTAGATACTTCTTGACAAGCCATATCATTCCGAATGCCGAACTACTGATTGGTCCCGACTTCATTTATCAGCACGACTGGGCGCCGGGGCACAACGATACAAAAACCCATCAGATGCTCATCGAGAAGGGTATCCGATATCTGGACCGCAGCGAGTAAGGAGTCAGCTATCCGCCATCAAAAACGGTTTTAGATACCCGCCAAACTCTCCCGACCTCAACCCGCTCGATTACTCCATTTGGTCTATGCACGAGAGAAAAGTCCGCGAGTTGACTGGCGATCTGGACCCCAGCCAGCCGCTGAAGGAGCGAAAACAAGCTTTTATCAAAGCCATGATGCAAGCTTGGGACGAACTGCCCGAAGAACAAATTCGTTCTGCGGTTGCACAGCTACCCGATCGCCTCTCCCTCGTCATCAAAAATGAGGGCGGGAATATGGAGGGCCAATACGGGGCCCGCGTGAGATATCGAAAACATTGAACCCTTTGTTATATTATCATTGTTGTCCGTCAAACATGCAATACATCATTCAATAATTCTTGACCTGTCCAGAAAACCACCTTCCAACCATAGCTGCCTCCAAAACCTGCATATCATAACCCTTCTCCGACATGTTGCGGAAAATAAATTCGTTTGCTTTATCTAAACGACGTCCGAACTATGATAAATAAATATAGGCGATTTTGGCCTCGATAACCCCGAAAAAAATACGCCAACGGAACCCTAAAGCCTAAATCCCCAATTTTAAACGCACACCCCCGGAATCGCCCAATTTTTCACCAGGTGGCTGCAAAAATAGATTTCATTCGTTAACCGAAGAGAAACGAGACGATTTCGGGGTGAAACCGCCCAAAAACCACGAAATTCCCAACTACCGTAACCCTCAGCGGAGCGCGTTTTAGCATGCAATATGAACTGCCATAAACTAGATAATTTTTTAAGCCAACTGGTTGTCTAGGTACTTAGTAGTCTACCTGCAAAATATTAGACAATTCCGGTGGTAGGTTCCCGAGTTACAAGCGAGAGACTGAAAGCGGGTCCAAAATCCGGCTTTTGATCGCCGTCTGAAAATAATTTTTTCTTGAACATCATAGATATAGAAATCTCATGCATCCAAGTAACGCTCCAATTACATAATGCATAATAACAAACTCCTGAAATAGGACGATAAAAAATGATGGTGAAAATCGCCGCAGACTGGAAACTAGTTTGCTTCGAAAACGGTTTTCAAAAATCTTTTAAAATCCTGAAGAGTTCATACAGGTGTATCAATGGGCGGATTCTGTTTAGCTCCACCTAGCCCAATCTGTATGCAAAATATTGCGACGATCCAAGCACAGAACATTCTTTCACGTTGCCTCAAACCTGGAATATTTCTGGACTTCGGCAAATTCCTCCGGGAAAACGGATGGCCCAAAAATTGTAATAAAATTCTCATTGGATGCGCCCCTAATGTAGCATTTTTTAAAATTATTACCAAAATTTGGAGGGGACAATGAAACTCAATCGAAACATAGCTACATTCGAAAACAACACGTTTGAACCATTTTGGCGACCCTATAATACGAGCGCTTAGATGGTTACTGTAGCCCAAAATTGTACAGATGATAAAGAATCTTGGCCGCTACAAGAACATAGTAATAAAGAACCTTGGTTTCCTAGGAAACTTTAAAAATACTTTTCTAAAGTCCGATTCCGTGGCCTCAAAAATCCATGAATAGGGGTCGTCAAAAATTTCGAAAATTCGCTGTTTCCAAAAATGTTTTTAATATTTTCTTCAGCCAGAGTAAATGCTATAGGTCTTGTGTAACCAGCTAGTTTTTAGTTTTTACCGTGCAATTGTTTCTGATCAAATATTCTCGGAAAAACTCAATATAAAAATTCGGCCTCTCACATAAAAACCAAAGCAGACCTTCAAAAAATTCTGAAACTTCGTCTGCTAGCAGGTACTATCTAATGCTGCCAGTCTTGCAAAAATCAGAATTTTGCTCCACCAGAACCCCGGAACAACGGAACGCACATTTCTCCGGAACGCACATTTTCCGGGTGTCATTTGTATGGGTACGTCGCCAAAAATCGAAAAAATCAAGTTGTGTTAAATCTTCATTACCCA